GAACAATTCTTTTCAAACTAACTTATGGGTGTAGTGCGATGCTAATTGTGTTACTTTTTTGATTAGTAAGAAATCACTTAAAAGTGTTGATCATGGCATACAGACGATAAGATAAACGAATGTGTACTTTAAAAAATCTATAAGAGGGCCTGAACCTATTCTAAAGTGACATCAGTTTTTAAAATGAGGTACCGATGCACTAATCTACCTATGATGTAATGTAATAAGCTTTAAAAGAATTGTTATAGAGGACAATATTCTGATATCATAATAAAAAATGCACATAAACCGATGAGTCACAGAAAATTATAAATTATTTTTAATTATTATGCAAAATAGGGTTTACTCACACGTAATTGAGGAAATGCAAATTTAAACCAGCAAATATAATATCCTCCTATTAAATTAGCGCAGCCTTCAAAACCCTCTGCTCTGCTCAGTGTGTGCGGTCAGAAACTGAGCCTGTTTGTCCTTCCGCAGCTGTTAGAAGGAGGACCTTCAGGCCCCTCCAAGTGTTAATACGGTTCCACTCAGTGAGTCCATGGCCGTGGTCGGTCACACATGACAGCTTACTATCCCAGGGGGAAGACAGAGTCTCAGATGTCCCTGACTGGTGACTGGTTAAGCGAATTGTGATACGTCCATCGCTATTAAAAATGAATAGTCTTTAACTTTTAATAAAGATTATTTAGACAGAAGTGGGTGCTCTTATTTCATTTTCGTAAGTTTGTAAAAGCGGGGAGCACCGTGTCTGAACCGAAGGACCCGACCCCTCGGAGCCCCGGGCACGCTCACGCCGTGCTCAGGCACCCGCCCTGGTGCGGGCGCCTCCCGCCCAGACGCCACTGCGGCCGCTTCTGGCTGAGGGGTGAGGGATGCTTTAGTTTCCAACTCTATGGTCGCTTTTATTTTCCCTTTTTAAGGAGCGTGTGTTACTTCAATAGTCAGAGAAAAGCCATGAAATGCATGAGAATGCTCCTCCTCAAGCTGCTAAACACAGGAGTGTCTGTCACCCGTCGCTGGAACCTGTGCCTGCCCGTCACACCGACAGAGGGCGGTCGCGGGGGCCGCGCCCGGTGGCCTCTGCCCCCACTCGCCACACCCGGGCACAGGCGGCCTCGCGGCAGCTGGGCGTCGGCAGGGCCTGGGGGCTGGTCCTCCATTTCGTCCCCGCCAGCACAGCTCGTGGGTCCCCGGGGTCCGGCGGAGGCGGCCGCGCCCACCTGCCCCGCACGGCGCCCCCACAGAGCACTGTCCTCAGCGGCTTGGCCGGTCCCCACCTGAGACCGTGTGTCACAGCTGGTGGGGGTGGGCTGAGAGCCGCCCTCTTCTGCGCGCGGACAGCCCGCAGCCGGGCCGGGAGCTGGGGCATGGCTCCGTGCAGGTGTCCGACAGCGGGGGAGACCCCCCGGGGGCCCTCGAGTCGGCCACAGCCGAGGGAGCCCGACCATCACACGGACGCGCAGCCCGAGTCATGGGTGGCCGATCAAACCTGGACACGCTCCCTCTTCCTGGAGCAGTGGGCGGCAGAAACACCCAGAGCGGCAGGCAAGGGCCAGGGGCACCCCGTGCCTCTGTCCCCAGCGCTGCTGTTTCTGCAGAGAAAACGCCCAGTGGTGGACACGCCACCCGCATGGTTTCCGCCGGAGCTGAAGTCACTTGCTCGGCAGACGTAGCAGACAGTGGTGGCCGATTGTGTTGAGTCCGTGGCTCTGCACTGTGAGCACGCGTGTCGGGTGAGGTCCTCGCCTCCGCAGGAGCTGCTCCGGCCGCCCGGAGACCCCGAGGTCCTCCCCCCGCCACGGCGACCTCCGACACTCCGACCTGCGGAGGCCCCATCTGTCTGTCTTTGGCAAAGACGCAGACGCCAGCTCCTCATGGTGCCGCTACCCGGCCTGAGGGCCACAGCGACCCCGGGCTCGGTGCTGGCCTCCCGGCTTGTCCTCTGCAGGGCACAGCAGCGACCCCCTGGGCCGTCCTCGGGGGCTGCCCCGGGCAGAGGGAGCGGGGACAGGCAGAGCCCCCAGTCCCCAAGCAGCACCCCGAGCAGGGACCTGGAGCGGGGACTCTGAGTGGGCACCCTTGGACATGCACTGTGCTCAGCCTGATGCCGGAAGCTTCTAGGGCCCTGACTGTCCCCCTGCCCCAGTCCCCATGGCCACCAGCCCCTCTCTTTCTTCTCTGTTGCGTCCTGGGAGGAGCACACGGGGCCGCGGTCCGGGTTCCAGCTCTAGGAGAGTGTCCGCCGGGCGCCTGAGGGCACGGGGACACAGCCCCCCGGCCCCCCACCCTGCTTCCGGCGCCACTGTGGTGCTGAGGCCGCGGGGGCCCCACACTCAGCTGGTGGCAGGGCCCCCAGGTGCAGGGCCCAGGCGGGGGCCAAGCAGAGAGCCTCCCAGCCGCTCCGGCGGCAGAGGCGTCCCAGGCGGCGGGCCCGTCTGCAGAGGCCTGGCACCGCCATCGTCCACGGGCCTCCCTGAAGCTCCTTTAACCTCCGTGAGCCCCGCCGTCTTGGGCGGCACATGGGGGCGCGGGGCTCCCGGGGCCCCTCAGGGTGGAGCGTGCCGCGTGGCTCGTGGCAGGTCAGGGGGCCGCAGGAGGCAGACGGGGACGACAGGCAGCGACGGAGGCCGGGAAGGGGCGCGGGGGCTTCCCAAGGCAGGCGCCTGCTTAATTACTGTTTTGGTTCAAACATTGATTTTTATAAGTAACCCTTGTGGGACAGCATCTCTGGCTTCTCTCTTAGCTGGCTTAGCAGTTTTCATTTCTTTCTTTCTTTTTTTTTTTTTTGGCTGGACCTATCTTATCTCACTGTTATTTACTGAACTCAGGGATTCTCTGCAGCCTTTTGGGGAAAACGAGTTATGATCATTTTTTTATCAGCCAACACAGCGTCCTGGGCGCCTGCGTCTCTTCTGGGGTCGGCTCGAGAGGCCCTCGCGTGGAGCAGCGGGCGCCCCGGGGCGGCCGGGGCCTGCGGCGTTCATCTGTTCGCCTCCTGGCATCGTGTTCCCGTCGCACGCGTGTGCGGTCCAGCGTGCGGGGTGCTGGGCAGGCGCCCGACCATGGCGGGGGGCAGGGAAGAGGATGGTCGCGAGAACGCCGGACCCCGTTGCATTCTCGCACCCCCGGAGCGGGGGTCCCTCAGCACCTGCCCCCGGTGCGCGTGCTGCCCCTGGCAACCCGCACACGCGTGTCAGTGCCCGTGTGCTCTCCGAGGGCCGGGGCACCACCCGCCCCAGGTGCCGGGTTCTGGGGTCAGCCCTCGGGCCTCCTTCCAGCGCGCTCATCAGCGACCAAGATAATTGTCAATATTGGTTATTGACTTCCTGTCTCCTCTGATAACATGCAGTTGACTCTGTGAACTCGCCAGAGAGCGTCGCATTTATATTTAGAACCAAATGAATTCAAAAGTTAAAAACCCACTTCCCCTGTGTGTTTTTCTTTAACAGGCAGATGCGTTTACTTCCTCATTTTCCTTTTCAGTTGACACATCAGTTTTGACAACAAAATCATCACATGGGGCATAAAGCCGTCCCCGTACCTCTGCGCACAGAACAGCCCTGTCTGCGCAGCCGCTTCTTTGAAAGCGCCGACGGTTTCTCCCTCTTCGTCAACCTCCGTTCTGAACGGGAGGTGAAGCTGGTTACAGGGGTTGCCTGCCTGGGCAGCGGCCCCCGAGGGCTCGGGCCAGGGCGTGGGGACCACGGGGCTGCACGGGGGGCCGTCTGAGCGGGGCGTGCGGGAGGCCGGGCCCGTGAGAACGCCCCGACACGCAGCGCACGTGCGGACACGGGGCGGGGCGGGGCGGGAGGCCAGATCTGAACAGACGCGTCTGCGTGGGGCTTCTCTGGGCGCTGATCCCCCCCCATCACTGTGCGGGTCGACACGTGTGCCCCCCACGTGGCCGTGCTGTCTGACCCTGGACGCCTGTCCGAGGGCAGTGAATGTAGAAATTAACTTCTTTGCACTCAGTTGAGTGTGTCACGATGCTGTGTAACAGGCGACAGCTATTACGATGGGGCTTGTTGGGCGCACGCGGTGAATTTGCACAGCCGGTCCCTTGCCTGAGCTCCGATACTTGGACCGGGGAAGGCCGTTCGTGGTACTGGGAAGTGCTTATCTTGTAACATCACGATAAGGGCTTCCTGACCACCCCGCCCCGCGGGCAGGGACCCACCTACCGGCTCCCAGCCTCCTTTCCCCGGCCGCACTCTTCAAAAAGCGGGCCAACGAGAAGAGTGTGGACCGTGTGCCCCTACCGGCAGCTGTGCCCCTGAAGGCGGCCTTCTGTGGCCTTCGCTCTGTCCCTGCGAGCTAAACGGGCTTGGCCTCAAGCCAACCAGGTGAGGGGGTGTTGACCGAATGGCCGCACAGTGTAGGCAGAGGCGGTCCTGCCAGCTGCTTGCTCCCCGAGCGCGCGGGGAGCCGTCCCGGCCACCGGCGCTCCTCCCGGACACGGTGGCACCGGCAGCCGAAGTCTCGGCGGGTGGACGCAGCCCCTCAGACGCCTGAGTGCCGTTTGTCACTGCGAACCTGTCTCTGAGGGCGTCGGACAGGAGGCTGAGTCGCAGGGAGGGAAATGCCACGTTAAAAGTTGCAAACTGTGTGAGGCTTTTCAGAAAACATTTCCAAGCTGTTTTCCAGAGCTGGGCAAACCAGCCATACACGCAAAACATCCCTCAGGAACCACCACTACTTTGGGGACTGGGGACTCCTTTTTTTGAGCACACGCCTGGCAGCCCGGGCCCTTCTCTTTAAGGAACAGGTGACAGTCAGTGCCGTGACTCGCTGTCACATGGGGCGTGTGCTCTGCCCACCCGCGACACTCGGGAAACTCGTCGTGCTTCTTTCTGGGAGACGGGCACGCTGTATGCGGGTCCAGGAAAGGGGGGCACCGTGCCGCTTGTTTCCTGTGCTCGGGGGGCGCGTGATGAAGTGGCGTGGTCTCCTGTGGCCGCCGGGTGTCCCCGTGCTGACCCCCTGTCCCTCTTCGGCAGGTGGCTGCCACCACAGCCTTAAGCCCGTCGCCAGCAGCCCCACCATCGCCATCGCCGCCGCCGCCGCCATGGTCTCCGTGGACCCCGGGGGACGCGGGGGCCCGTCCCCCTTCTGCGAGCAGCCCTGCCACTTCCTGACATTGGCGCCCATCAAAATACCCCTGCGGACCGCCCCCTTCTCTGGTAAGCAGAGCGCGGCTCCCCGAGCCCCAGCGGTTCCAGAGTCCGGCGCGGAGACCGGGGAGGGGCCGGCCGGCCGCAGGTGCCCGCCGGGCCGGCCCCGGGGCAGCGTGGGCGGGAGGGAACCCAGGTTTGGGCATCGGCAGCCCCCACACAGGGCCTCCCGTTCATTCAGCAGGGTTTCGTTGGGTCCAGTGGGCGTTTTCTGCCGCAGAGCAAAGCGGCCCGTCTCTGCTTGAGAAGTGACACTTCCTTACCAACTCGCCAGGGTGGGGACATAGTAGGACGACCCTGGGAGGTTTGTGGCTCTTTTACATGGAGTGCGGGGGGAGCAAAGGCAAGGTGCCGTGGGGCAGGGCACTGCCTCAGCCAGTGCGCGACGAAGCCGTGCGCCGCGGGCCTGGGGCGCAGCGCCCTGAGCCGACCGCTGGCGAGGCCCCCCGGCCTGTCCGCCGGAGCCTGTGGTCAGAGACCACTGCAGGCACAGGCGGCCACCAGGGCGTCTGAGCCCCAGCGCCGTGGCTGTGCTCTTCCGACAGACCTCCGGCGGCCCGGGGCGGGCCCACGTGTGGCATCCCGGGCGGGGCCCCGTGCGCCGGGGCCCAGGAGGGGGAGGGAGGCCCGGGCCCTGGACGGTGGCGACTCCGTGGTCATAGCTGTCCACCGGCGTCTGTGGCCTGCAACCATGTGTCCCGTGTCCACGCCGTCCCTGGGACCACACGTTTGGGTCCTCCCAGACACAGAGCAAAAGCCACGTTCACCTGGCTTTTTGATAATTCAGCAAGGACTTGACTCTTGCGGGCTCGTTCTCTTACTTCAGGTTTAGCCTTTCGTGCGATGCGCTGAGTCAAAGGGGAGTTCGGCAGAATTCTAACCCTAATTCAACGCTGGCGGCGATGCCGGAATTCTAATTCTCGCGTTAATGCCATCGACTGCCTGGTCACCAGTGACAGGAAGCGTCGCTCGATGGCTGCTTGTGTGAGTTCAGGGTGGGAGGAGAAACGGCCTAGTTCTTCCCCGCGCGGGGAGCATTTCGGCTTGCGTGCCCTGTTTCTGGGGGATCGGACGTGTCTTCTCAGCGCCGGCCCCCGGCGCCCACGGTGGCCTGCGGGGCCGATGCACGAGCCGGGCGGCAGAACATCGCGTGCTCAGGAGCAGGGCCTTAGTCCCGTCCCCGCAGGTTCGAGCACGCGCCCTGAGGGCGTGTCGGGGAAGTGAATGGGCCGCGGAGATAAGCTCTCGAGTGGCGTGTAACTCAACAGCTGCGTCAAGATCCTGGTTCAGATCTATCAGTCTGTTGGCGTTTACTAAGGACGACTTACTATTTTTCAAGAAAATTAATCTTAGAACCGAGCACCTTGGAGCCCAGGGGTGGCTTCCCTTTGCGTGTCCCTAGGATGGATGAAGTGACACCCTAATTAGATGTCTCTCCACGTGTGCGTTTTCTAAGGCTCTGTAATCGGATCTGCCGTAACGTGCATCTGGTGAGAAAAGACCGGCAGGACGCTGCCCGTCTCCGCTCACTGCCCGGCCGCCGTCAGCGCGAGGGCCGGGGGCCCCGGGGGCTGCTCCTGAAAGCGCCTCGGCAGTGTGGGCCGTGGGCCCCTTGCGCTGAAAGTCTCGCTTTGTCATCGAGGCGCCGGGTCCAAGTTGAAATACAGCCCGGAGGCTGGGTGTGGCCCAATGACCCAGCCCACGGGGGGCCTCTGAGCTCGGTGGCCCGTCCCAGGCATCCGGGGCGACGGGGTTCTGCCCGGTGTCCCTGGTGAGGGGCCCGTGGGCGATGCGGCCCCTGTAGTGTCTCCCTGGCCGTCTCCTCTTGACCTCGGCAGGAGGCGCATGCGTGAGACGGGCCGGGTTCACGGCCAAGAGCCCTGCAGGCCTTCCCTCGAGGCTTCAGAGAGCCAGGGCTCGGAGGGGACCGGGCGTCGACGTTTCGTCTGTCAGGGCGGCTCCGAAGCCCAGGCGGCCGAGGCATCAGTTCCGCGGAGGAATGTCCTCAGCGGGGCGTCCGGTGGCTGCCGGGGAGTCCCTGGCCCCCAGTGTGGGCGAAGCGGCGGAGGAAGCAGCCCACCAGGGCCAGGCGGCGAGCGGGGGTGGGGAGGGGAGACAGGACGGTGTTGTTGGCACAAGGGCGTTCGCAGACCGAGAAAACACGGCTTCTGTGGGACCCGCTCCAGGCTCAAACTGGTGTCATGAGAGCGGGGAGCTTGGTGTGCCTGCAGGTGGACAAAGCTGCCTGTACGTAGCAGACGAATCGCGCCTGAGGTAGATGAGCGCGGTCACCATGCAAGTCCCGCACCATGGTTCTCACCTGGGGGCGGTTTCCCCCCGTGCACATTTGGCAATGGCCGGAGACCGTTTGGGAGGCTGTGACTGGGGTCTGGCTCCAGGGAGTAGAGACCAGGGGTCCCGCCACGCCCAGAACAGCCCCAGGGGTGGAGCTGCCTGGCCTGCAGCGTTAGTAGTGCCCTGGGGTGCATTCTAGAATTCCGCTGAAACTGCGGGGCCTGTGTTGGTGTGTGAACGGCCTACTGTCACCTGGGAGGGTCGGTGACCCGGTCACCGAGGGGCTTTGACAGAAATGGGCTCGGTGCGGCGAGGGGCTGGCGTGCGTCAGGCTAAAAGCTGATGTCTTCACCATGATTCAGTTTCAGGGAAGATACGTGTTCAGAGAACCCGGGACCCGTGCGTAAGGTGCGCTTTCTCCGCCAGTGCCGCCGGGCCCTGGAACCGAGCGAGCGCTCGCTGCCGTTCCTCTGAAGCACCCGGTGTTGCTGGGCACCACCGCCTCCAGCTCGCCTGAGGCCGTGCACGCGGCGCCCGCCGGCCTTCTCACAGGTCAGAGGGGTGGCCGCGGGAGGCGGGCGCCGCGGGGCGACCTGCAGGCGTGGCCGCGACGGGAGAGCAGCTGCCGGGCCGGGGCAGCAGGGCCTCCCCTGCCTGGCCCTCGCGCAGGTTCCAGCCACAGCCTCCCTCGCGTCCGACTGTGCCTTTGAGCCTGAGGACTTCAGGGCCAAGCACGGAGGCTCCCGGGGTAAAAACGTACCTGCGTCCTGTGTATTTCTACTTACCTTTCTCAGGAGAACGTGAAGTTTATCGAGGGAGGAGGGAAGCCCCGGAGAAGGGTTTGCCGCTGAGCGCGGACTGCTCTCCCGAGCTCTGGGCGAGGCCTCGACCTGCCGCCGGGGCCACAGCCCGGGCGCGAGGAGGGCGCCCCCCCGCGGGAGGGCGATCGTGGCCCCGGCCGAGGACGTGCCCGAGGGGGCTCGTGGGAATGACGGTCGTTGTTTTTAGACCTTTGCCTGCCATGCCGTAAGCATCCAGGAGAACAAGATAGGCCGTGAGAGGTCGTTCCGGCCACCGGTAGAGCAAACTCGCATCCAGCACAACGATTAAGAAGAGCCATCTGCCCGGGAAGCCATTCACCACCTGTCCTGTGCTTCCGCAACTACTGAATGGTTTAAATTGAACATTTTTGTCCTGCCACAGAACAGCTGGGCAGTCGCTGTTGTTTCCCCCCCGCCGAGCGGCAGAGCAAGTCGGGAAAGCCCCGCGCCAGGGCCTGCGGCGGGGAGCGGCCCCTCACGCGAGGCCCGGCCCCACCGCGGGGGACGTGGCCTCCCCTTCCCTCCTCCACGAATTGTTTTCTCCTCCATTGTAATGAAAAATGTCATAATACATATTAACATTTCAGCGATTTTCAGAGACAAAAATACCGTAACAGCATAATTACTTACACTCCACAGTGTCTGAGGCTCAGCTGGCTCCTGTGAGGAAGACATATGTGTTTCTAATACCGGGATTGAGCAGCTTTCTGCAGGAAAAATATTGGATTTAAACAACTAAAAAAGAAAAAAAAGAAAAACACCCCAGACTTTCTACAGTTTGTCACCCACCAATGACCTCGTGTTAAGGACGCAGGCCATGCTGGGGCGTGGAAGGGCGGGCTGTGGGAATGCAGAGCCCGCGGCCGGGACACGAAGCACTTGGCGGGGCATCGTCCCAGGTCGCGGCCTCGGAAGGCCGTCCTCTGCCCGCGTCTGCGCGCCTGGGGCCGCTCCTCGCTACCCTCCCTACGTGGGACGCGGGGCGCGGCCCCCGCCGGCGGCTCTGCCCCTGCAGTGCACTCCGGGCAACGGCACTGAGAGTGCCTCGCGCACGCGGAGGCACGCGTGTGCCTGTGCCAGCCTGCCGAGCGCTGATGCGGCAGACCTGGGGCCGCTCTGAGCTGGGGGTGGGCGTCTCCCGGCCCGCACACTCCGGGCGGCCGGACGGCGGAGCACCCGGGACAGCCGCTCTCCCGAGCGTGCCCACCGTTCCCTCGCGGCCTCCGGAGCCGCTCCCTGGGGCCTGCCGGCTCCAAGCGACGCGCGCGGAGCTGAGGCTCCTCTGGATTTTAGGTCGATGTGCCGCGCGTTTCGAGTGTGCCTTATACATGAGTATGATGATTACCTACCACGGGTGCAGTAATGGGTGTAATGATCCTGTGCATCATGCGCACCGAACGCGGGTGGGCGTTATCCACGGCAGAGCCCCCGCGTTCTCCTGTGATGTTCTCCTTTGTGCGACACCACGCATGTTCTAAGACCCCTCCACCCCCCACCACTTGCCGCTGCCATGCAGTCAGTTCACGCTGACGTCCTCCTGCGCCGTGGGGGGCAGGCGGCCGGTCCCTGGCCTGCCCGCGCGGTCGTCCCCCACCCTCCTGGGAGGCTTTCCCCTCCTGGGCGTGCCCGGGACAGTCCCGGCCTGGACCTGCCACCCTCCTCTGGCCCAGGGCTGTCTCAGCCCCGTTGCCCCCGACCGGGGCCACAGGTCCAGCTTCCACGGGGCGCCCCGCTTCCTGGTGGACAGCTCCAGCTGCCCACTTCTGCGGAGCAGGCACCGGTCCCCGGCCGTGGCCCTGCTTCCAAGGCCGCACGGAAGAATTTGCCTGTCCAGCAGCCTCCCAGGGAAGCTCACGCCCCCTTGTTCTTCCCAGCTCAGTCAGCTGCAGCCCA